CATTAGGCTTGAATCTTTAACAGTGTTTCAATTTTGGGCCAGGTACATGTCTTAATCACAGCACTTTGTAGGAAGAGTGGGTCTGTGAGTTTGAGGCCAGCCTGGATTACATAGTGAACAAACTTTTTTTTTGTTGTTTTTTGTTTTTTTGAGACAGAGTTTCTCTGTGTAACTATTTTGGCTGTCCTGGAACTCACTGTGTAGACCAGGCTGGCCTTGAACTCACAGAGATTTGCCTGCATCTGCCTCCCAAGTGCTGAGATTAAAGGCATGCACGGCATAAACTTTTTTAATTTATGTATTTCCCCCTAAAATTTAAAATTTGAGATGGGATCTTCCTCAATTGCTCTGACCAACCTTGAACTCAATGCATAACCTAGACAGGTTTCAAACTTGCAGTCTGTCTTCCCTTAGCTCCCAAAGAATCCTGCTAGTATTACAGGAGGCTGGTGCTGCCTCAATGCAACTCTTTTGAGACAGCAAAGCTGTTAGCATCCTTGTTGCAGGAAGCGCTATGTGTGTCTTTGTAGGTTTCTCAAGAATTGACTACAGTAGAATCTTTGGGGCAATAAATGATTAGTTGTTAGTGTTGTAATAAAAAAAAAAAGCAATGCACAGAGAAAGACATCATACAGCAGAGCTTGGGTGGAGAGGTTTTTATTGGGGGAAACTAGCTGGGAAAAGGGAGGAGGGGAGAAGGAAGACCAGCCTCTGGGGATAAAATCAGCAAAAGAGAAGGGGGGAGGACAGAGAGACAGGCAGAGAGAAAGAGAGAGAAAGATTGGAGGTGGGCAGGGCCCTTTTAAAAGGAAACAGTGGCTGTAGCTAAGGATGTACCCTGTCAAAACTCCAAGGACAGGCCCATTACAATACAGATGCCTGAAAACTAACAGTAATTTATTAATATTCTAATTCCCTTCTCTGGCTACCTAGTGCCTTTCCAGTCCTTCAGGCAAGTCTCTCTTTTTTAAATTATCTAATTTCGTGTTTTTATTTATTTTGTGTATAGCAGGAGATGTCTTATGTATGCATCATGATGCACTTGGAAGGCAGAGGACAACTTGCAGGGCTCAGGTCACTCCATCTACCCTGTGGCTCCTGCCTTCAGGCTTGGCTGCAAGTGCCTTTACTTGGTGAGCCATATCACGGCCAACCCCAAGCAATTCTTTTGAGCAGTGCAAAGTGCAAACCTATTGTGATATGATTGTTAGCTGTTTGGCGAACACTGGAGCTTGTAAGGAGTTGGGGAGGAGAGAATTTGGCTCGTTATTGACATGTTGCTTTTTTTTCAGAACAGGTTGGCCTTAAATTCCTAATCCTGTGGATCCTTCTGCCTCATTGTTTGGGGATTGCTGGGATTGCAGATGTGACAGCCTCCTCTTTGAAACTGGTCAGTTTTCCTGGTTTCCTGAGGTGCAGCAGGCATTGGGTTATTCATTGTTCCAAGTATTTGTATGAATTCATTGCTGTGGGGAAGAGAAACCACAATGTCATCCTCTCCTAGGGAGCATACAGTATTTACCCTTGTTTCTCAAGGTTGTCTTGAGTGACAAGTGACAAGCCTCAGTCTTCTGCTTGTGATTGTCTAGGGTTCTGGGGTCAGGTAGCATGTCCTCTTTAAGAGGGAGGGTAAGGGTCAGGCCCTCACATACATACACCGTATATACCAGCCTGGCCTTGAGCTCAATGTGTGGTTTAGTATAAACTTTTTGTTTGCTTGCTTTTGGGGTTTTTTGTTTGTTTGTTTGGTTGTTTGGTTTGGTTTGGTTTTTGAGACAGAGTATCACTGTGTAGCCCCGGCTGCCTTGGAACTCCTTCTTTAGACCAGGCTAGCCTTGAACCCACAGAGATCCACCTCCCTCAGCCTCCCAGGTCCAACTATCCCCCAGCTAGGATAAACTCTTGATCCTCCTACCTCTACCTTCGAGTGCTAAGGTTGCAGGCTTGTGCCCCCACACAGGTTTTATTGCATGCTGGAGACAGAACCCAACTGAGCTACATCCTCAAGACAACACTGTGCCCTTGATGTAACAGTGCTTCTAGGATAATAGCTAAGGTTCCTGGGAGGTTTTTAAGCCCCTGTTCTTTTGTGAATAAACTAAACAGGTCCGTCTTTAGTGGTATGGAGAAAACTACGACAGATGAAGGCAAACTTCACATAGCTCTGGTTCCGAAAAAGAGCAGCGTGACTGGTCGTGGCTATTGTACAAACCAGGCAGAGTAGAGCAGAAAGCATGCACTTACACCGCGACCCTTCTAGCTCCTTCACATCTCAGACTCTCCTCCGTTTTAAAGATGTCCCTCCCTCCCAAAAGAAGACATTTCCGGTATCGTTCTATGGACCTAAGTCCTGGTCCTAAGAACTTCACGTTCATTTTCTGGAAACTGAGTCAGCCTCGAAGTCCAAAAGAAAAGAGGGCCTGCTTTAAAATCTGTCTCAGAACATGGTGACAGAGCACACCTGTAGTCTCAGTGTAGGAATCCAACTCAGCTGAGGAGGGGCCTCGTTCGAGAGGGGTTTGGAGTGTGAGAAAACCTCCTAAACCACACGAGCTGTGGGGCTGGGTGGAGGAGACTCAGCAGGTGTGGGGCGGGGAGGTAAGTTGACCCTTGGTCAACGACCGCGCCCACGAGGAACGCATTCCCAGGCCTCCCGCCCAAGGTCTGCAGGTGACAGGCTCATGGGAGGGGGAAAGAAGCGGAGAATGCTCCTGCCCAGTTTGCCGTCTCCATGACGACCGCCCGCGCGGCGCCAGTTTGACAGCCCGTCCGGGTTTTATGAATGGGTGACGTCACGGGCCTGGCGTCTAACGGTCTGAGCCGCTTGTTCAGACGCTGACACAGACCAGCCCGGGAAAGGAAAGGGAGGGGTGATCTCCGCAGCTGCTGCTCTGTGGGAGGGAGAGCTTGCTCCGAGGGCTTCAAGAAAAAAAGGAATCTAGCAAAAAGAGGAGAAAAAAATTAAAAATCACCAGCTGCTGCAGATTTGGGACCTTTCTGCAAGAGGCTGCAAATCCAGGGTAGAATTGGGGGGATGTAGTCCCACTCCACAGCGACCCTTCTATCTCGTGCAGGAATAACTCTGTCCTTCACTTTAAAGATGTTCCTGGTATCGCTCCCAGTTCAACCGACCTAGGTCTTGGTCCTAAGAACTTTACAGTTCATTTTCTGGAAATTGAAATCAGCTGGGGCGTTCAGAGTACGCGAGGGCTCTTAACATGATGTGGCAGGGCACACCTGTAATCTCAGCACCTGGGAGGTGGAGCAAGGAGCATCATAGCAAAGTTCTGAATCCAGCTTGGGTTACAAGAGACTCAGTGTCAAGACAAACAAAAACAAACAAACAAAACCCTCAATAAATAAATAAATATAAAAATAAAATTCGCAGAGAAACCCTGTCTGGAAAAACAAAAATAAGTTCGACTTTAATAAATGGCGATCATAGCCCAATCTTCCGACTGTATCTGGGAATACTGGGTTAGTCCTTAGTCAATGGCCACCCCAGAGCCAGCTACTTCTCCATTTTCGTTTATCTCATCTACAAAATAGACCTGGAGAAGCTAGAAAGAGACCACAAGAAGCTGATTCCTGGGGTCTTTTTGTTATCTGCAAAATTGGCTTAGCCTCTTTGCTTCCTTAAAGAAGCCGTTCTGCCCATGGCCTCCCACCCTTTCTATTCTTAAGCCCCACCACCTTTCCAGGAGCTGGGATCCGAGGGCGCGCTAGACCACGCCTCCAGACAAACCATTGGTTGCTTTTGAACGATCTGAACCCGCCCTGGGTCCGCCCTTATAAAAGACTGGCTCGAGCGCAAGCCTCTCATTGTACAACCTTTCCATAACTTCTGTGCACTCTCTTCCTACGCTCCCTTCGCAGACTCCTCCGCTCTTCCCCGTCTGCCTTAGAGATCATGAAGGTCGCCAGTGGCAGCACCGCGGCCACCGCGGGCCCCAGCTGCTCGCTGAAGGCGGGCCGGACCGCGGGCGGCGCGGGCGAGGTTGTGCTTGGCCTGTCTGAGCAGAGCGTAGCCATCTCGCGCTGCGCCGGGACGCGCCTGCCTGCCCTGCTGGACGAACAGCAGGTGAACGTCCTGCTCTACGACATGAACGGCTGCTACTCACGCCTCAAGGAACTAGTGCCCACCCTGCCTCAGAACCGCAAAGTGAGCAAGGTGGAGATCCTGCAGCACGTTATCGACTATATCAGAGACCTGCAGCTGGAGCTGAACTCGGAATCCGAAGTCGGGACGGCTGGAGGCCGGGGGCTGCCCGTTCGGGCTCCGCTCAGCACCCTGAATGGCGAGATCAGTGCCTTGGCGGCCGAGGTGAGGTCCGAGTCGAATCATTACATTATTCTTCTGTGGGTGGGTAAACTGAGGTCATGGGGAGAGGTTAGCGGTATGTCCGCCTTACTTTTCGGGCACATGGCTATTTAGGGGCGCCTAATGGGAAAAGCTGGCTGCTTCATCGTGGCCCTTAAGAGTGGAGAGGTGGGAACGCCTTTCCTCTTCTTGCCTTTCCATCCTGTCTCATTCCTTATCTCGCTCTGGTGTTCACAGGCAGCATGCGTTCCAGCCGACGATCGCATCTTGTGTCGCTGAAGCGGCGCACTGAGGACCAGATGGACTCCAGCCCTTCAGGAGGCAAGAGGAATAAACTGCTCTGGGTTCCCCAGGGAAGCCCGGGAAACACTCTAAGACTACCGCGGCCACTGGACTCTTGGCGGATCTGGCCACCGGGCTCAGAGGGTTGACCAGCAGAGGCTAACCCTCTCCACCTTTCAGCCCCCAGAGACTTTGGGGAGGGAGTTAACCAACCCCGTGTGTTTCTATTTTTTGAAAAGCAGACATTTTTTTTTAAATGGTCACATTTTGTGCTTCTCAGATTTCTGAGGAAATGTGTCGTATTGTATATTACAATGATCACTGGCTGAGAATATTGTTTTACAATAGTTTTATTGGGGTGGGTTTTTTGTTGTTATTAAACAAATACTTTAGATAATGTTGTAGTGACTTCTTGGATGGAGGGAGGGGGGGTCTGTGGGCAGGAGTGATGACCTCTGACCATTTTCACAGCTGGTGTTGAGAAGCGAGGAATTGGAGGGTCACATCTGCACTGTCATTCTTTCTGACCTGAATGAGTGTTTCCGGTGTCTTTAATGTCTATTCTTTTCCTTCATCCCTGGCCATTTCCCTGTTCCCTAGTGCCATAAAATTAAATCCTCTAGTAGGGCTTCTCTCAAAGTGGTCGCTGGGCCATCTGGATCACCCAGGGAGGTTGTTAAAATGCAGATGGACCTGCTGGGTCAGCCTGCTCTGGGCTGGGGAGTATTCATGCCATTCAAGTTGGAAAAGCAGGTCACTGGACCATTCATTTCCTTGCCAAGGGCAGGGGTGTGTGTCTGTGTTGTGTGATGAGACCTAGGCAAAGAGGCCTGTATAGGGCCATAGCTTGCCTGAATCAGGACTTGTGTGGCCCTCTCTTCCCCGCTGAGCCACCTTTCTCTGGATGCCAGCAGGCTGCCTTAGGGCTCCTGGCTTGTCCAAGTGGGTGATGAAATTGGCAGGGTTAGGCTGTGTACAGCTGCAGGGCCACCTGCTCTGGGTCTGAACTCAGCCCCCTCACGCTGGCCTGGCTGCTAGCAGATCAACATTTCCCCTGAGGCTACTGTGTAGGCGAGTCATGTTCCCAGCTCCTGAGAAGGAAAGGTTTCACTCAGGTTCAGTCTACCTGGACATGTGGCTTTGTGCTCACAAGGGGAGTGCACAGATGTCTAGGCTTGCCTGTGTGTGACCTGAGCAACTTGGTAGGACTGGGGCATCTCTTGTGCAGGCTTGGTGGTGTATGTAGGTAGCAAGACACGCATGATAAGCACATAGGTTCTGCAGACTAGTCCCTCCAGCCCTTTGGGCTTTACTTGGGTAGTGCTCATACCTGCCTGGCTCTGGGTTGGTAGATACTGTATGTTACAGGCTGTATAGCCACATTGGGCTCCTTTGTAATTGCCGATTACTTTGCATTTCTAGGCCACTGCCAGGTCCAGGGCAAGAGTGGAGCATCTCTTTAGGCAAACCATTTCTCAAAAGTACAATTGCCACCTCCCTGGCCAATTGTGAGTTAGAGGGGACACTGCCCTTCAAGTATCCCTGCCAGGTTAATTCCCATGGAATGCCAGAAAAGGCAAATAACTTGTCCCCAGTAGTAAGAATGATAATTTGTCACTAAACAAAATCATATAGCGTGGTCTCCCACAGCCTGGTCTGTGTAGCAAGATCCTGACAACCTAGAGCTACACAGGGAAACCCAGGGTGTCTCAAAATACACCATACAGATTGAAACCCAAATAGCCAACACTTAGAACCAGGAGCCAGACTGCTCCTCTGTCTGAAGGACCTCATGGATCCCAGTTGGGGTTAAAGACAGAATTCTGAGACAGTTTTTCACTGAGGAAACAAGCTGAACAAAAATAAAATTCAGAAATATTTATCGGGCACTTAGATTAGGTTTGACTAAGTTACGTTGACTTTAACACTAAGCCAGGTACATAAAATGATCTCAAGCATTTGATGTACTTTACCAAACAGCGCAATAATTGTAGGTGATTAAACTCTTCTGTGCCCTCTCCATCTGGCAGTTTTATAGAACTAATCTCACAGAATTGTCCAAAATAAATGAAATCCAGCACAGAGTTTTTAGCACACTGCCTGGTGCATAAGACAGTTAGAAATTATTAATCTGAGGCACACACGTGTGCACCCACTTCCTCACCATGTGAGTCCCCCCACACACACACACACACTCTTGCAAGCCCACCCACAGGGACATAGGCGTGTCCCTGCGTGCACCTCTACCCTGCAGAGCCTTTTTCTAGCCCAGGAAGGGGCCGCTGAGCCCCTGGCCACTTCCCCCGCCATCCAGGCACACTCTGGCTTCCACGTTTCCCTCTCTTCCTCTTTGGCCCAGACCCAGCCCATCTGGAGGCCGGCTCCGCAGCGGCCTGGGAGCGTTTCCATCAGCTGGGCCCGAGGAATGCAGAACTATTTAACCTGAGCATCCCCAGGTGTACGGAGGCGCCTGGCTGTCTGGGCCCGCCGACTTTGGCACGGCCGCGCTAGACAAACAGCGGCCGCCCCCGCCCTGCCCCTCCGCCCGCAGCTGCAGCCTGGCCTGGGAACGGGGCGGGCGCCGGCAGCTTGCATAAGAGATACCAAGGAGGGAGGGGGTCAGAGGCCACCAATGTGTGTGCATATTTCCAGTTGTGTGTGTACCCCAGACCAAGGGAGGGCCAGAGGCCACCAACGTGTGTGTGTGTGTGTGTGTGTGTGTGTGTGTGTGTGTGTGTGTGTGTGTGTGTGTTTGGAAATCATTAACATCTCAAAAATCTCCTGCTAGGAGCAGGACAAAGACTGAAGAGGAACCACAGGGCAAGTTCCTTGGGTGCAGGACTCAGGGTCCTCTTTATTTAACAAACACATAGGGCTTAGTATTTGCTAGAACTTATCCTACACTGGGTCTTAGACAAAAGGCCAAGAAATGATTAGGGACTTCATATATATAAGTGATAGGCATTACATATACTAAACTTTTTTTTAAAAATGTCAATTTATGCCGGGCAGTGGTGGTGCATACCTTTAGTCCAAGCACATGGGAGGCAGAGGCAGGTGAATTTCTGTGAGTTCAAGGAAAGCCTGGTCTACAGAGCAAGTTCCGGGACAGTCAAGGCTATTACATAGAGAAACCCTGTCTCAAAAGCAAACAAAAATCAAGTTAGTTAACCCCTTCATCACCCAATGCAATCTCCTGCTCATTTTGGTTGGGAGTCTAGTCTTTAGTGCTGAGCCATCTCTCCAGCCCCTTAAGCTCTTTTTACTAGCAAAAATAGTAATGGTTGAGCCTCAAACATGATAGACAAGCACCCTGACCGACCACATCCCCAGCTCTTGCTCTTTTTGAGACAGCATCTCACTCTGTAGCCTGCCCATATGTGAGCTGGCTTGAGAAATGGCATCCCTCCTACCTCTGTGATTACGAACTGAGGAACAGAGGCAGGAGGATCAGGAGTTCAGGGAAACCTCACCTACATAACAAATTTGAGGCCATCCTGAGCTACATGAAATCCTGCCTCAAATAACAAGAACAAAATCTAACCGGAACCCGGAAAGGTAGAAATAGCCCAGGTTCCCTCTGTATCTAAGATGTCCCGGGTCAAGTTTAATGTGACCTGCCTTTGAGAGGACCCACATAACCAGATGGAAACCAACCAAATCCTATGTAAAGGTCGGTTCTATCTGGAGAGTGAGGGATCATCGAACCCTAATATTTACATGCATTCTTACCTCCATCCCCAGGGGCCAGTGGTACTTACTGAGTTTTTGTTGTTTTTCTGTTTTTGAGGCAGGGTTTCTCTGTGTGGCCCTGGCTGTCCTGGAACTTGTTATGTAGACCAGGCTAGCCTCAAACTCACAGAGCTCCACCTGTCTCTGCCTCCTGAGAGCTGAGATTAAAGGTGAGCACCACCAACTGCCTGTTCTTAGACTTTTTCTTAATGACATTAGTTTTTCTTTTTTGTTTGCTTGGTTTCTTTTTTCTTGATCACTATGTAGACCAGGTTGGCCTCAAACTTAGAGTGATCCACCTGCCCCTGCATCCAGAGTTCTAGGGTCAAATGTGTATCACCACTATTAGTTCCCACTGCACCAGCAGCCCGCCTGTGCTGCCAGAGCACTTAAGTTACATCATCACTGGTCCCCAGGTGCCTTTCCATCATCAGCTATGCAACACGGGCACTCCTTTAAAATGTTCACCAGGAGTTGGGTGGTGGTGGCATATGCCTTTAATCCCAGCACTCAGGAGGCAGAGGCAGGTGGATCTATGTGAGTTCCAGGCCAGCCTGGTCTACAAAGCTACACATAGAAACCCTGTCTCAGAAAATCTTAAAAAAAAAAAAAAAAATCCACCAGGCACAGCTTTCTCTCTTGCCTCTCTTCTTCCTCTTGTCCTGGTCCTGTCTGTCTGTCTGCCTGCCTCTCTCATGTGCCTACTCCTATATGGCCTTACACTCTTCCCCTCCCCCTAATAAGTCTAACTCTGTTGCACGTGGTGTGTTTGCTTTGTGGCATGCTTTGACAGGGCCTGATAAAACATACCCACTTTGCCTTCCTTTCTCATTTATCATTACATTATACATCACAAGCTTGGCTTGTTTTGAATTGGAGACAAGGTTTTACTCTGTTACCTAGTCTGGCTTTGAATTCAAGGCAGTCCTCCTGCCTCAACCTCACAACTGCTAGGATCACAAGTGTGGGCCAGCCACTGCCCCCAGCAATAGCACTGACTCTTATTGAACACCAGAGCCACCAACCAGAGAGGGTTACCTAATGCCCAGGGTCACATAGTTGGGTTCCCAAGTGGTAGGCACACCTCAGATCCTGCCTGGCTGCTGTAGGGAAAGGAGGTGAGTCACAGGGCCAGGCAAGAGTTGGGTGAGGCTGGGGTGAGGACCAGGCACAACTTTCCTGGAAAAGGAAGGGAAGAGGAAGCTGTGCTAGGAGGAACCACAGGTCGAGGGAGCAGGCCTGGCTCCCTTATCTCTCTGACCCCACCCTGGCTGGCTCTGCTTCCTGCCCCTGACTCTTGCAAAACCTCCTTCCCAGAGCTTCCCCCAAGAGAGGTGCCCCAGGCCCGTACAGGGTTGCATCAGGGCCTTGTGCAAGGAGCGGTTAGGAGAAGATGAGAGGATGGCTGGAGGCCAAGAGGGAAGCAGGAGAGCCAAGCCCAGTGCCATTTCTGATCTGATGTTTGCTTCTGCCTGGCTCTCCAGCAGCATCGAAAGTTTCTGTACACTGCTCTGAGGTTCCAGCAAAGTCAAATCTATGCACCCTGAGCCCCAGGCTAAGCTGTTGTCACTACTCCTGGGAATTTATAGGAGTCCCAACTCTTAGTCATCCTGTAGTTAGAAAGCTCTTCCAGTACACAGGGACAGACTACCAGAACTAAGTCCC